ATCACATCACCATGACACCCACAAGCAGAATATGTCACTGTTATTAACCTGAAGCTTGACACGGCTTTAAAAGCTCCATCTATTGATCTTGAGTACCATTGTGCTTGTTGACAACCTTGGATTCCGGTTTTGGATCATTATAGCGCTCCATCCGAGCCATGGCACACGCCTATTATCAATTAATGCGATACTTCACATTATTGCACTGCGCATTTAACCACGCAGGCCATCGGAATCACACGCCAGCCGACACCTTTAGCCCGCAATTTCAACCAGAGGGATAACGCAGTAGGATGTCATCTCAGGATGATTCACATCATCAGCCTCGGAGGTTTGTGCCCGAAACATATGTCAGCGGTCATGGTATCATAATATGTTGTCTGGGTGATCGGAGATTTCTTATGTAAGCTCACAATTTTGCCTATGGAGTGCGGAGACAACAATGTTTAAAGTTAGATTCAGGCAGCTGGCTTCCTGGTGTCTCACCGCATGCTGCCACTATTACACACAGATTTAAGATTATGATGTTTATGGAGTTGATGTCATGATTCTTCCCAATGTGTTTTACTGTTTTTATTGCAGATTTTATCGTTTTATTGTTATCCAACAGTGAAGACAGCTGCTCCTGCTTCCCGAGCCATGGCCAAACCCTATACACTCGCCTGTCTGCAGTTGATTGACCGCCCCTCCGCTCTGATGTCCCTGTGGTCGCTGATCTTGATCAAGGCTCTTCTCTGTTTCGGGTGAATGAACTCTCCACTGAAAACAAGACAGCAGAGTCACTTTGCATCACCTGCCACAGGCTGAAAGAACACATTTTCAGACTACAATTATTCAGACACATTAACGCACCGGGCTAGAGAGAGAGAAAAAAAAAGAAGCATGTTTTTAGATCACAATAAGACGAGTATACACAAGGAGGAGAGTCATACTGTCTGAGCAGCTTTACACAAAATTTGAGTCCAACAAAACACACACACAAACTATTATTCTGGTATTTTTCTGCCAGTAATTGTGGTGTCTGAATGTCTACAGCCTCTTAACTGCTATGCGGCAAAATTGTTTTCAACTCCATTTTACCTCTTTTTTTTTTTAAGTGGGTCTTTGACAATAGCTGAATCTGCACTAGAGACTGCAAATATTTAAAAAAAGCTTACATTCACCTTTAAACTCTTTGACTAGAAGGACATAATACTGGTGACCTGACACATTGCATTCATATGAATATAAGCATTTTAAATGTGTCCACTGATCTGTATGAGCACCGCCATCCAGAATGAATAATGCAAAATACAACTATATGAATATACAAATTAATGTATTTATGTAGCACTTCAAAGTCAGCCATTACAAAACCAAACAAAAAATCAAGTAAATAGTCAAAAATGAAACAGCTGTAGCCTATATATAAAGATGAACATAAACATGCACACATGTTGGCAATTCATTTTGGCACCCGATTTGGATTATTTTTAGTCTATTGATGAAAATGTATAATAGTTTTTAGTAAAATGTGGGTATTTGGATTATGTTTCTTTTAGTTGCTGCCAACGCCTTTCAATTAAAGCCAAAAGTCTGGACTGAAAACACATACAAATGATTTCATTTCAAATCACTGAGGTGATATACAGAATAAAATAATAAATATGGTCTCTAAATACTAACAGAGCTGACTGTAGTTTTCGTCTCCTTTTTGTTGTGAAAACAGGCCATCGTCTTTTATTTTTAGTCAAAGTTTTCATTGACAAAATGATCACTGGGTGGCAAGTTAGGACGACAAAAAACGAGACAAAACAACTGCAAAGAGACACAATGCAACTACAAAAGACATAAAATGTCTTTACGGAGACACCAAACGCATTCAAGGAGATGAAAACGACAACAAAGAGTCACAAAACAACTAATATCGGAACCCAGTAGCTAACGTTCTGACCACCACGTTGCCTCTGGGGGCAAGGGCCAATATTTTGGGTGTACGGGTGTAGCTAACAAACATCCTGATAACGGCTATCCAGGCCAACACTTCCTCTTCCGTTCACCGGCCATTGTTAACAGTCCGAATAGCAACTCGAGACGTGAAAATTAAGTTGACGTTGTTTCCGTTCACATGAATGCGGATAAATAAAATAAAAAAGGTGAAGCCTTCCACCTCTTTTGCTCTCCACACAGACCGTTTACCTGCATCCACCCAAAGCCTGCTCAAACGTGATTGGTCAATACTACTCGGACTACAAACGGAAACCGGAATACTTCCGATACCAAAATCTCGTGCCGTTGCCTACAGATTCTGCAATCACATACGTCTGTTTGTAGAGATTACAAAACGACTACAGAAGCCACAGTTGTGTCTTTTACATGTCTGTGCCCGGGGGCTTATTTTGTCATAATCTATCCGGTATAATATTAAATCATGTAAACTTTAATGTGAGGCAGAAAAAATGTCCAGAAAATTATTCTTTTGTTGTTTTTTGGCCGTCACAGTTGGATGGGAAGGGAACTCAGGTCGAAACATATTCAAAGAAATAATCAAAGCTCTATGACCCTGAGGACCAGCCATTTGTCCGTGCAATCCAGTTCATGCGCAGCACTCTCGCCGTCACCAGCAGTCAATACGATAAACAGGACATATATCATGTCACAATGCTGAAATCCTCGCTGGAAGACTTTCACAACAAGCACGGGGTCAAGGTTCCGCGTTTTGCAGCAGCGTCGCATTAGTCACGCTTTGGAGATGGTGTTTGTGAGTGGCTGCTCAGTTTGCCAGCGGCCATGAAATGTATGCGAAGCCGGTGGGGAAGAAGGCAAAGTCATGACAGCTGAAAATATGACAGCATTATAGGCGTTAGGCTGCGGAGGGGAAAATAAGGGAGGACAAATATGGCTCGACACTTTTCTCTAGCTGCTTCACTCTGTCCAGTAACACCTTGTCCACGCAGCAAAAGAAATACGTCAGCTGCAGTCCTCCCGTCAGTGGCTGTCCTGGATCTGTTCAAACGGATTTGACGGACCTCGCAGTCCAAAGTTCACAAGCATGAACTTGATCACCTAATTGAGAAGAAAAAAAAGTCCAGTCCATGTTGTCTGTAGCTGGGTAAAATGGAAGCATTTCTGCGGTTATGTATCGCTCACTCTGCGTTGGGAAGGACTAAGAAAAATAACAACAGAAGACGGTTTTTTGAACTTTTTAAGCCTTATCTTTAATGGACCTTTCCCCTTCAAACTAGGTTTCATGTTGACTTAGACTGGTGTAAGAGTTGAGGGGCAAGTGGAGAGTTGTTGACCGATGACGTTCAAAGCTATGTAGTAATATGACATTTTGTTGACTTGAGCTCTGCTTTGCTGATACCGGGTACAGCAAACGGACTAATTCACTTCATTTGTGTGACGCAAAGCAGTTTTAGGCATTGCAAAATGAGTTTTATAGCATGAAATAAACTACATAAACATATGAAATTAATGGTGAAAATGATTGTGTTGCTGTCAAACCCAAACCCTGTTTCCCTGTCTCTCCTCCTCCCCCTGTCTGACACCGTTTCGTGGATGCAGGGAACGATTGTTTTCTTATGACTTTTCAGCATCAACTGCTGTCGAAATGTTGATTGTTTCCCAACCGTACTCTGAAAAAACATACTCTTCATCTCAAGGCGAATTTTAGGAGCAGCGTGATTGCCTACCAAGTCAATGGAGGCACACGATACGACCCAAATTTGCCTCTGGCGGTGCACATTGTTGAGCGACATAATTGCACTTATGCTTAGACTTTGAGATGAAAGGCTAAATATCGTTTGGTTTAGAACAAACCCAGGTCTGTTGGCCCGGTTAGTGCGGCTCATTTGGGCGGGTTAGAGCTGTCAATCAAACTCCGGTGCAGACCAAATATCACAACCAAGCCCACTTGAAAAAGCGGGTCTCGATCTCCTCTCAAGTGTACTCTGGTGTGCTTTGTTTGCTTTTACACCACAAACGAGCGTGGGCTGCAGAAGAGCAGGAGACTGCAGCAACCAGCGAAGCCAACCAGAAACCAAAAAATGTCAAACCAACCCTTTGATAATGCTAAAATGCTACAATGCCGACATCGCTCCTTTAACCACTTTGGCCTCACTGATCGTTTGGAAATGTAACTGAAACGCTTGCAGGTCAGATGTGGTCCTCAGTGACACACCACAATGAACTCGCCCAGGGAACATGTTGACCTCAAACCACAGCAAACACACACCTGAACCCTCCTGACTGTCCACCGGTTTACAAAGATGGGGATTTCTGCAGTGAAATACTGACGATATCACAAAGCCTTGTTTACCCCTCTGAGCAGCTTCAGTCCTCATTTGGGACACAAACAGAACTATTAATCTTTGATAGGACAACAGCTGGTCGTAATAATAGCAGCACTTTTGTATGTTGAGAGAAGTGGCACGGCATTTTTCTCACGGAGAGGTCGTGGAAGATACCCGCCATCTGTACTTGCTGCATTACTCCTCCTCTATAAAGACGGGAAAAAAGGGGGCTGTTGAATTGGCTTTATCTATCAGATCCCAGTGTAATCGCTTTTGGCTGACAATAATGTGCCTTACTGACTGTGATCTGCAAGTGGAAGGCCTGGATATCATTCTGTGTGGCATCATTTTTTCTTTTTTTAAATTCTCTCTGCATCTACTCTGCAAGAATACAGCAATCATTTTTTTTTGCATCTCAAACTGCCGTGAAAACAACATCTTTTGATGCAGAGCTGCTGTGAAAGTCCAGGTAGGCTATGTGAACATTGCATCCAACTTGGTTTAACCTCGCACATTTAAAAGCAGTCTGCTGCGTGGCATGACTGAGCACAGTTTATAGCGAAATTAAAAAGCTCTGTTTATGACACATGGCACCAGAAAAAGAACCAACTCTGCACGACTCCAAATCAGCAATTCGCTGGATGCGCACAGGGTGACGCGCTCAACGTTATAGTGATATCTCTCTCTCTCTCTCTCTCTCTCTCTCTCTGTCACCGGTGCGGTCGTCTGTCTTGCTGCTCTGACTGATGACTCGTCACATGGGATTCGCTGCCAAGACTTTCTCCGTGGACGCAACGCGCTGAGAGCGCACCGCGGCTTTACCTTTGTCTTTCTTACACACGGTTTTCAAAGTTTCGGTTTACAAACGCGGATTATTTATTGGAGGTGGGAAAAAAAAAATTACCTAAAGACGTAGTAGGCTACAACCACGAAGCTCTGACTAAGGTGACGAGTGGGCGGTTGAACGCCGGCGTCAGTGCGTAATACCCGGGGAGCAGGTGGATGGAGAGGCTGGCGCACGATGCAGCTTTCCAGCAGGTCAGCGCCGCACCGGAGCGGGTGGACTCCATGTTCTCTGCCGAATGACTCTTTGCCACGATGGACTTGATATGAAAAGGAAGTTTTCTGTTTTCAATTTAAAAGTAAGTGATGCTGTTGTAATGTTTTGCAAATTTATTTTAAGGTGCTCATCAAATGTGTCCTCATCTATTGGCATTTCTGTGTGGACCTTTGCTGTTGCGCACTTTGATACATAGTCAGGTCTATTTCATCTGATAAAAGTTACAATTTATTTCCCATGCAAAGAAGTAATTTATGGTTAATTAACGGATTCAAAGGAACTCAAAAACCCCCAACATGCGCTCTCTGAGATCTAGTCCTGCCTGTCAGTATAAGACGAGGGTAGATGTATGCTCCTTCATCCCACGAAATAAACCACAGTCGAGAACCACGCGGATTGACAGGGAGAGTTGAGTTGAATTAATAGTGAGTAAGGGGATTTGTCATTCAATCAAGAGGTGAAAGGCTCGACGCCCGCTGAAGACATTTTTCTGTTGGAGTTTCCACTTTGCTGTGAATGAAAGCAAGTCTCCTGTTGAGCTGGACATGCATCACACAAAACCTGCAGGTCGGCGTGAGGCTGCTGCTGCTGTTTCCCTGGTAGCACTTCATCTACTCGCGCAGTCGGCGCTGGTATCAAATGCAGCTCCTGACATCCATCCTGCGGTTTATGTTTTTATGCGAGTCTCTGTGAGCCTATTAGACTTTTCCACTACAAGAGTTTTAATAGACCAGCAAATCCCCAATTTACTCTTTAATAATGCAATTACCTTGCTTGATAATTAAACTCCAAGATGTTATCAAATAATACCCACACTGGCACAGTAATGAGCCTGGCCCCCCTGCTAGGAAATAACACCTCAAACCCTTTTCATCATTCATTAGTGCAGATTGAATTCTGTCTGTCTGTAGGTCTCTCGCTCGCGCACACGCGCACACACACACACACACACACACACTCACACACACACAGTGCATGAGTCTATAATTGAGCTTCACCGGAATGTGTTTATAGGAGAATCTTTTTGCGGATTTAGAATTTAAAAATTCGTTTTTATCTTTTATTATGGTCAGCATTAGTTTCAGCAATAACCATTTAGTGTAATTACATCGACTCTATGAAGTAGTTTTCACTCTTCGTGGGGTGGTCCTCCATTCCTGCACTGGCTTTTACCAGTAACAGTCGAATCTGCCAGCAGTGAAATCTTAATTAAGATTGTAACTTTTGAAAAACGACGTAATTTGCGTCCAATTGAATTCCTTTAAATCCAGAGGATGTAGGTGGGTAAACTTAAAACAGCCTGGAGATCATTTTTGCCTCTATAATTCTGCGCAGAATCTTGGAATAACTACATTTTAGGTCAGTTGGCAGCTCAACAAATCAGGCTCTGTTGCAGATTTTGCAGATTGCAAAACACTGCCACAGCAAACAGATGGTTAATGGATGTCGAGATGGAAGAATCTCCATTGCCAGACTTACCTATCATTACAGGGCTGAAACAAACCTAATTGGTGACAATTATTATATTTGAATGATTGTTTTAGTCTTGTCATTGAATATCGTTTTTTCTTAATTTTGACTAATGGGCAAATAAAACACATTTCAAAGGCATCCCCTTTGACTCTGGTATTACTGATGGCCGTTTGTGATTAGGTTTTTGATAAAAATGACAACAATCCTCAGTAGTCTTTGCACACACATTCACCACACATAGACACAAGTATATTGTGCCTCATCGTCAACAACTAAGAGTGCCCAACGATATCCCTCAGTAGCACAGAGTGGACTGTCCAAAGTGGGCGTACATCACATGTAATTCAGGTAAATTGTCACTGCAGGGAAAGAGTGAGTGATCCTGCCACAGGGCCAGAGCTGTTTGTCCCCGAGATCAATTGAATAAACATTTGTCTTCTGCACCGCGGTGCCCTAATCGTGTTCTCGCTCAGGCGCACTTTTTTTTTGCATGTATGCATACGTGGGGGAGGCAAGCATGCGCACTTACACACACACACACACACACACGCACACGCCTGACCTGGACTTGGCTCTGCGGAGCATTAGTAGGATTTATAGTCTCGCACTGTTAAAAAGCATGATAAGAGCATCATGACCAGTCGAGAGCCAGCTGATAGTTTGTCATTGACCACAGACACAATATCTGCTCGTCATGCTGAGTTCTGTCGTAGATTTTTGTGAAATTTTAATCCAGACATCGTACTCAGTGCAAAAGCATTCAAATGCGTGTCAGGACATTGAAGTTGTGTGTGTTTGGGTTGAGTGCAGCGCATGGTGTATTTTGCGTCTTGCCCATGAGCCCTCCGAGTTTTCTGGCTTTCGCTGCCGTGTGAGGAAAAAAATAACCGAAATGCATTTTTTTTTAAGACGTCTGCACTTCATGTAAAATTTGGACATGGCTGGAATGGCATCTTGGCCTCTCCTCCGTGTCTCTGTCTGCCAAATGCTTGCCGTGAAAGGAAGTAGTAGTATTGAGGATAACAATAACTAAACGTGTAAAGGGGACATGTCTGGAGTATTCTCTAGAGACAATATTTCACATGTTAGAATACATGAATGCAGTAACCTTGCGACTGTTGCCATGGATCTTCAATGGCTATTAATATTTGTTGAAGCAATAATTAGTTTGTCATCCGAACTTACTGTTCCCTCTCTCTCTCTCTCTCTCTCTCTCTCTCTCTCTCTCTCTCTCTCTCTCATAGATCTCTCTTGCTCTTTTTCTGTTTCTCTACGCTGGGATGTGATACTTGTGGTTCCACGTTAATGAAAATCCCCAGTCATCCCGATCCCCAGAGCCCCAAACCCTTAGACCCCAATGTGTCAAATTCCTCCGTTTAATCTAACAACTTGAAGTCCCTTTGCCCTCTTTTCAACAGTCTTGCATGGTAACATCAATGCTTTTAAGCATGTCATCTCAAACCCACTAATATATACCTTCTACCAACTCCTTTATGATTTACATCTTCACCCGTTGCCATCTTTAGACACTTGGAACCCTTTGATAGCCTAAACCCCTCTCAGCCATCATGGCCTTTGATCAGTGGCCCTTTCTCCCGACCCCCCCAAACATCTCCATCCCCGAGCCCCTCCTGTACGACAGCTACATCCAGGGCAATGAGTCCGACCTGGACCTGAACATCTCCAAAACCAGGGAGTCTCACCAGGACAAGACCAGCTCCGTGGTCATCACCTTCATCTACTTCATAGTGTGCAGCGTGGGGCTGTGCGGCAACGCCCTGGTCATATACGTCATCCTGCGCTACGCCAAAATGAAGACGGTGACCAACATCTACATCCTGAACCTGGCGGTGGCGGATGTTCTGTGCATGATGAGCCTGCCGTTCATCGCCCTGCAGCTGGCCCTGGTGCACTGGCCCTTCGGAGAGGTGCTGTGCAGGGTGATCATGACTGTTGGTAGGTGTGAAGCAGAGGAGCTAAAGGTGCAACCTGAGAAAGAGGCAGCAGTTTTACAGGAGCAAAGAAATACTTTTGGCTTCCTCAAAAGGGAAATGATCATGAATTCATTAACTGCTGTGGTTGCAATTGAAGGAAAACAAAGATGAACATCTGTATTGTACTTGTTTGTTCAAAATCTTAGATACTTAGGGAATAGTTTCACATTTTGGGAAATACGCTTAACTAACCATGTTCTCCATACTGTGGCTTCATCTTTAAATAAGCATGTTCTCCCACAATGTTTAACTGTTTCATTAAGTGTACCAGTGTTGAATTCAAGACCACCTAAACCGAGACCAAGTCGTGATCAGGACTAGAGTGTATCGAGACCGAGACAAGACCAAGACTTTGAGGGGTTGAGAACAAGAACAAGGCAGGGGGGAGACCGAGTGAAGACCAGACAACTGTGATAAAAAAATGGAACATGCAAACCATAATTGATTCAATCTGAAAGATCTACATTCCAATAAAAAACACCCTCAGAAAACAAATAAAGATTCCACCTCTTGTACCTCCATATACACTGTACATGTGTGTATGTATACCTTACATTCTATCACAATTTTACGTGTGGGAATTTTCCATTGTTTTCAATGGGCAATCACAGTGGTGACGATAACAAAAGAATCCTCTTTTTCGGAGACCAATGCAAGACCAAGTAAAAAATGTGGTCGATTTCGAGACGAGACTGAGACCTTCAAAAAGTGGTCTTGAGACCGGTCTCAAGACAAAGACTGATCTCGAGTACTACAACACCGAAGGGAAGATTATGGATCTTTAGACTTTAGCTGCAATTCAAACAGTGTTGGCCATCCTAGCTGTCTTGATAACAGCCTTTATCACACTTAATAAACCTCTTGTTTCAATAAAAAGAACAAGCATTAGCAATGACTGCAAGTGTTACTTGATACACATCCTCATTTTACTTTTCTCTCTCCCCTCCCAGACTCTCTCAATCAGTTCACCAGCATCTTCTGTCTGACGGTGATGAGCATCGATCGGTACTTGGCTGTGGTCCACCCTATTAAGTCCACAAGATGGCGGAAGCCCCGCGTGGCCAAGCTCATTAACCTGACCGTATGGGGTGTGTCCCTATTAGTCATCCTACCTACTTTGATCTTTAGCGGCCTTAACAAGGTGCCCGTATGTGGGATCGTGTGGCCGGAGCCCCAGGATGTCTATTACACGGCCTTCATGATCTACACCTTCTTCATCGGGTTCTTCTTGCCCCTGTCAGTCATATGTCTGTGCTACCTGCTCATTATAGTCAAGGTGAGAGCCTGCCTCCACGTGGGGCATTGATAACAAGATATTTTTATTTCTGGCTGCAAGACTAGAATGTTGATCAAATATCCAATCGTTGACAAGATTGTGGAATTATTTTTGCCCCTTTTCAAGTCATGAAATTCAGATGAATTGCTTACTTAAAATTTTTGAATTAATATTGACTTTTACAGTAGCACGCCCAGGTAGCTGTGTGATTGAACACGGGCCCTGGAAGGCTATCCAGGCTAGCTAGGGGAATTTGAACATCTTAATTTCACAGGCATTAGTTAAAACTGTTATTGGGATAATGTTGAAAATACAGTGGTAGGGAGTTATCTTAGTTATCTTTAATAGAGATTTAGAGCGGTGGGTTTAAAGGGACAAAAACCTAGTTTACCCTGACAGAGTGGTATTGCCAGGAGAAAAATCTAATGTTTTATTCAAGCTGACAACATTTGTTTTGTCACCTCATTAGTCATTAAAAGCATGTCTCTGGTGAGTTCGTATTTTCAACATTTCTTCCGTGAATTTGATGAGTGCCTGAGTGACTAAAATGTTTGCGTTTCCTCTGATAGCCATTTGGCTTGGCCCTGGAAAAGAGCTATGAGCTAGCTAGCACTTAAAGGTTACTTACAGTTCTAACATTCAATCTTAATGTTAGGGTTTTTATAGCCCGTTTTCAAAGCTCTTTAAGGAATAGTTTGACATTTTGGTTACAACACACTTATTAGCTTTCATGCCAGAGAGTTAGATAAGAAAACCACTTCTATACCTGTCAGCTAAAAACCTTACGTAAAACCACACTTGTTTAGCCTAGCTGCTTCCTGTCTTCATGCTAAGCTAAGATAACAGTCTCCTGGTTGTAGCTCATATTGACGGACAGATATTAAAGTGGTATTTAACGTTTACTTTATATATATCTGTGTCTCCTAATGTGAACAATTTGCTTTTATATTTGGGAAATTTCAAGCCACTGACGTACATTTCTTTTCCAGGTAAAGTCCTCTGGGATGCGGGTGGGTTCCACCAAGCGCAAGCGTTCTGAGCGAAAGGTGACCCGGATGGTGTCCATCGTGGTGGCAGTTTTCGTCCTCTGTTGGCTGCCTTTCTACATATTCAACGTCACCTCCGTCGCCAGCTCCATCAACCCCACCTCTGCCGTGAAGAGCACCTTCGACTTTGTGGTGGTGCTCGGCTACGCCAACAGCTGCGCCAACCCCATCCTGTACGCCTTCCTGTCGGACAACTTCAAGAAGAGCTTTCAGAACGTCCTGTGCCTGAAAAAGGTGGCGGGCCTGGACGAGATTGAGCGCAGCGACAGCAGGGCAGACAGGAGCAGGATGGTGAACGACGCTATGATCGCCAACTTGGAGACTCACAATGCTGCCCTGCTCAATGGCGAGCTGCAGACCAGCATCTGAGACACACCCAGGGAGGCCAGAGGTACAGAGCAGTGGCGCTTGTGGCTTCCAGACTGATGAGCTGACAGTACACTGCTAGTGACCCCTGTTCAAAGACACGGGGGGCAGGAGGATGACGTATGAGCTGCAGCTCATGGACATTGACACATGAACAAAGTCTAAGTGAAGACTAAGAAAATTCCAAAGGGGTTTCAGAGGTCAGCAAAGGTACACGCCCAAACCTCTAGATACATGGGTTAATGAGGCAACTGGAACTGTTTTGCCCTGAGGCAGTGCAAAAAACTAATGTTGGCCGAGTGAAGTTAAATCAAACATAAATACGAAGGCTGTTCGTGCTTGCCAGCTTCAGGTTTCTATCGAGTTGTCAGGCAGACTGAACCAAAAATGGAAGCAAGACGCAGGACCGGAGAAATGGATTGCATTGGATCCACTGCAGAAATATTGCTGGCTAATTCACCCATGGGAGAGAGAGAGAGAGAGATCTGAGGGGATCAAGCACCATCCTCGCTCTCCTTGATGGAGTTTTAAGAGCTGTGAAGGTGTCAGCATTGATTTCTCTGAATGTGGAAATACTGCTTAAGAAGTCGGCCAAACAATGCAGTGGAAAACAGCAAGCACTGTACATCTATGGAGACTCTGAAAGATAAAAATCAGAAGCCTCAAGCCAAAAGGTGAAAAGCTTCGTGGTCATGTTTTATTCATTCCAGCTGATTAGCCTGGGTCTTACATGATCAACCAGGGAACAAAATGGCAAAGCCCTCCCAACACACCAAACGGAGGATGCTCTTTTCTCCCTCTTGCTGTCATCTCCGCGGGAGGAGCTGCATTGATCCGTAAGCTCTCGAATTCAACATCCTGGATTATTGATTGAGGTGGAAGGATGGGAAAACATCTCGGCCACCGCTCTGACCTTTCTCCCTTTAAAACAGCTTATACTTTGTATATAGCCTATAAAATGGTTCTCCTGGGGGAAAGGTCCTGACATGGACGACTCCAATTTAAATTTCTAAGGCATTTCCTGTTGTGAAAAAAATCTGTATTATTGTGATGCATCAAACTATGTTTGTGACAGCCATCATATGTACTTTGTACTTCACTGTGTCCTGGTCTTAACAGTAATTGCTATGCCAGCGGTGCCATAGTAAGGAGCCCATTTCTACTTGTAAAGTGCTGTGTTTTGAATACATGTTGAAACGTGGTCACTGCACTCAGCTTCACACTTGGTTCAGTCCGCCCGTGCTTGCAAAAAAAAAAAATTGCCTAAATTTCAGGAAGAAATATGTGTCATGTAGTCAAAGAGGGAGAGAGAGAAGGAGATACAGAGAATGAGATAAACTTGTAAAGTATCTACTAAGAACACAACACATGAAAACAAATAACTCCACTCGCATCATTAGACCAAACATACGGTCAGCAGGCAGGGTCAAGCTCCAAAGACAATTGGTCCTATATTTCCCAAAATGCACCTGGATAGCATCTTTTATCAGACCCTCCCAGTCTGTTAAATGCAGACGTCTTTCAAACGCCACACCCGTGGTCACAATAGGAACACACGCTCACAGAGATTTGTGGCATGCGTGTAGTTACAATTCCAAGTAATTTATATAAAGACAAAAGTCACTCTCTAGCCATCCATAGCTCCTCGCACCCTTTTATGAGTAGCGCAGAAGGTGAGACGAGTGACCGATTCTGCACCAAGGAGTCATACTGACCCGGTGGACTGTGTGTAATAATGCGTCACATCACAATACCAAAGGCTTTATGGGTGAAACCCACAACCAGAGACTATACATACTATATCTTTCTGTGTATCTGTTGTCTGCAACTATAAGCTCCTTCAAGCCTGAAGTGCAAGAACTATTCTCAAATCATCCACAGATAATTACTTTTGCTCTGTCCTATCCTGTGTCTGTGTATCTCTCTCTCTCTCTCTCTCTCTTTCTCTCGCTTGCACGGCTGGTGAAGAATAATATGAGCTGACACACATTTTACACCCTCCCAAACTCAACAAGCTGAAATGAACTGAACCATGCTGAAGGAAACACACCATGCCTGCCATTGCCGCTGGCCATTTTGGGCATACTTAATGGACTTAATGTACTTAATGGACCATTCTGATGTTTAGTAGATAGTAAATGTAGCGCTAAAGGGACAGCAGAGGCAATGAGGCGGGGCCCGTAGTCGCTGCTTCCTTTGTAATTTTGTGAAATCAAGACCTAATTATCTCTCTGAAATTATGTCATATTCTAAAAAAAAAAAGAAGGAATTTGGGTTCATCGCTCTTTGTCTGTGGGCACAATTCAGCACCAAATGTTGCATTTGTCCTGATTTCTGTCTGGTTCCTGCCACTGTATAGTGTACAGAAGAGAGGAAGAAGCGGAGGAATGGGGAAACCTCTGCCTTCTTGCGCTCTTGTTTCTTTTTTTATGGAAACACAAGTTCATTTGCGAAGGGCTAGAACGTGCACTCCTGAGGATGCACCGTTCAATGTTAACTCAGTATTTGTGGTATCCTCTGCTTGTTTGTGTGCATGGGGAGGGGCTGCGTATCCCACCTTCTGTATCCCCCCACTAACCAAAACCAGTGTTACACACTTACTGGGGGGGGGGGGGGGGGGGGGGCACCTTTTTCTTTGCAAGATATACTCTCAGAAAAAAAGATTTTTTTGTTGTGATTAGCTGCAAATGAATGATTCTATTTGGTCAAAGAAATACAATTATGTATGGGTTTTCAAAAATACAGATTTCCCATCATCTTAACTAATCCAAATTTTAGCCAAGCTGGTTGTAACTTACAAGCTTGTTTCTGACAGTGTACAGCCGTGGATATGTACTTTTCTGTGCAGTGACTTTTATCTATGGGCCTTGGAACTTTCATCAATAGACAGCAAAACAACATTTTGACCGGTTTCTCCCAAAAGCCAAAGAACCAAAGGCCTTTGTACTGTACAGACATGTTGGTAACTAAAACATAACAGAGTATATCATCTTTAGTTCTATATTTTCCCCAGCTTATATAGCTTATGTTTGTGTGATATAATGTCAGAAGCAGATGTTTATTTGTGACTGTTGCATAGAATATAATGTGATCATTGATTGTAATGGACAGGCCAATGTCCTTGTCTCTGCAATTAAAATGCAGGCAAGTTTCTGCTCCCATGGTCAAGCCTGTGTATTTGTGTGTCAATGGGTGTGCATATGTATAGCATTTGTGAGTAATGTGTATGATGTGCAACTTGAACATCCTTTCCACTGTGTATTTCCCCCAGGAATGCAATCCTTGGAGGATGTCCAAATTTTCCCTCGATCCCTGAACACATCACGCAGAATACACTATGTTGTATACAGATGGTACTCGAGGGGATTTTGTGAATTCCAGTATTTCTCAAGGGGCAGTTAACTCCCAAACACAGAACAGTTAAATCTCATCAATTATTCTGTAACAACATAGCTCAAGGTTGCACAAAGAAGGGAGACCACACATGAGTTTACCAAAAAAAAAACAAAAAAAACGCCACAAATAAAGAAAACCAAAAGGGTGAAAAGGGTAGAGAGAGGACATATGTGTTGAGGGTAGTTTTGAGCTGAGGTTGAGAGATAGAACATATATAAAAAAAGGGATGCTGTCACTGTGACGTTTTGAAGTCTCCAGTTTGGGCATTTTGGCTGTCGCCATCTTGTTTTTTTGCCACATGAAGTGAAACAAGAAGGTAGCGCTAAGTACAACCAAACGCTGAATAAGACAATTTTAAGCGAGCAAATCGTTACAATTAACTTTCATGAGCAGAACAATCAGAGAGAATGCAAGTTCAAGGCACTTTCCCCATTGGCTTTACTTTTCAGACCCGGAGGTTGCCGCCTGGGAGTCAAGTAGTCCTCTTTAAGAAGGTTCTTCCCATTTCATACCATAAAAGTTGTGATAAGAAAACGTCTCTGACTGTTCTCATATTTCATTTTACCGCAATTAAATATTGTTAACTCATATTGTAAGCATTGAGTTGCTAAATAGCAAATAAAAGGTTGTGTAGTCTAATAGCTGCATATAACTGCATATCAATATTTACTATAGTTAAGAACTGAAACACAGATGCTGTTTAAACAACAGTTACACAACCTTGTCTAAAAAACTGTTCCAACCAAAAGTAATCCCTTTTGTCAGCTCTGCCAGCAGCACATCTCTAAAAATGGCAATGTCGGTCTGTTCCCACACCACTTTGGTCCAGATGAACCACGTCAATAGATTGCTTGTCGTGACAAGCTTGTTTTGCACAGACATTCATGGTTTCCACAGCATGATTTGCAATAATCCACATATTTTTCAAGCCATCATCAGCCTGAGCTGAACTTTATTTCTAGTGCTTATATGCCAACCTGTTATCACTCCGAACTCGCCAAATCTAAGCAGTTTTATTGAGCGAGTAAACCTAAAAACAAAGTAAACCTACGTTTACTGTTAACGTGAACACAGCAGTTTATTTTGAAAAGACACTATTCATGTAATAAGTGGAAACTAATGCGTGTCCTTGACATGTCCAAAACTGATGCTAGAGAGCTATGTGGAGCGTCATAGTTTGAAGTGTATAGGGCCACTGCACAAGTGTCAGTATTTGACGAGTCCGGAGTGAGAATGTCTTGAATAAGCAAATATTAATCTGCTAAAAATGAGCAGCCACGTAAGCATGTTAGCATGCGGACACTAGCAATTTACTCAAACCACCACTGTACCTAACTCTCCCAGTCCCAGCTTGTTTGAAGAGAAATGTTATTCTCATAACTGTGTACATTCTGGCTGTGTTATAATAACTTTACACTTCAACCCACAGCTTCACATGTAAACAGAAGCTAGCTTTAGCGGTTAATGCAGGGGGCTTTTCTGTCGCACGCAAGAGACAAACATTTGAAATGATCTAAACGAAATTGGATTTCTTTGAAAGACTTTTGTCTGTACAACGGAAACACAAAGATATTATAACACAGAATCAGAATGGCCACACATATGAGAATGTGACCCAGGTTGAAAAACACCAGAATTCTCCTAAAACGTAGATGTCTTTAAGTACTTCCACCATGCGTCGTGTCAAGTAAAAATCGAAATAATCTCTCAAAACCTGAGTGACAAAATCACATCAAATACATGTTTTCTTTGGTTTAATGTGGACTTATTTAGACATTCCCCTGACATCGTAGAAGTATCACGTTCAATCCAATACCTTCCACACACGAGTGAGCCTACTTGCAACAATGTCTCATGTGACCTCTCATTATCTCTCCCACCTGAGTCGCCTCCATATGACTCACGATACGAACGCCGTGCCAACCTGCACTGCTGAGGATTCAGCTCCACTGTGAGAACAAGAAATGCATTCTGAAATGAATGTCGTGCTCTGGGGGTGACTTATCGTGGTGGTGGTGGCGGCGGCTGCCGCAGGTGAGAGGATGGTAATGATGAAGGTTAAATGCACAAAGTGGAAAATGAATCTACTTCTAGCCAGAAAAATAAGACTTTCGGGAGAATCAAGTTTGAATGTCAATGGAAAAAATGTCAGCGAACGCTGCCCTTTGCTCACTAAGTAAGGTCAACAATATATTATGAATGGTAAATGGGCCGCGCTCTAATGCTACATGTCATTCATCAATTCAAAACCATTCATACACTGATGGCAGGGGCTATCATGCAAGGTGCCACCTGCTCATCAGGACGATCTAATCATTCAGAGCCATTCATACACCGCAGGCACAGCTTGCAGGAGCAATTTGGGGTTAAGTGTCTTGCCCACATCTTGCCCCAGGACACAGCGACATGGACTAGCGGAGCCGGGGATCTAACCGCCGATCCTCTGATTGAAGGACGGCCCTGCTCTACCACTGAGCCACATGTCGCCCCACGTCAGTCATCAAGCCTCTGTTTTTATGACCTTTTCAAAAACCAGAGAGAAAGATGACTCATCAAACTACTCCCGAAAGACCTTTTGAAAAGTTCTGTTGCATAACATGGACCCAAGTTAGGGCAAGTGGGCCAGACTAGCATCATTGTATGAACAACTGAATGCAGCACAGTTCATGTGACGTGTGCAGCATGAGCTAATTGTACGTAACAGGAAGGTAAAGCACAAAGGTTAAACTGAATCAGATTTAGTTGGAGCAAATAAATTTGATCAGGTGAAGTTGTTGCAGTAACATATTGAATACTATTGGTGAAAACAGAATCTCTACACCGCAGGAAGAATGACAAATTCATGACAAGCAACAAATAGATGTGTCTTGACCAGCTGCATCACACAATAGCGGTATGACATCACGGTCTGTTTGATCTAACAAAGATATCCTCGTGGGTGGAAAACATTGTTCCCTGGTCTAGACATTAAAGGGGAGCACTGCACAGCATGTGGGCTCTCATCCTTTGATCAAACATGTTCATACACTTTCAGCCCAACACCCTGATCTTTCACACTTCATCTTCACGTTACCAAAGTCTGAACATTTTGATTCTTGCCTAGGCTCTGCCTCCCTGCATAAAGTAGCAGAATTAGTATTCAGAAGTGGAAAATGGTGCACGAAAGCTTATTTCAAAAGCAAATACACAGAGATTAGCTTGGACTCAATTGTTGATCCTGCGCTGAACAGATTGTCTTTTCAAATACTATGTGCTGTCTCCATCTACTGGTGCAATCCTAGTGCTGCTGGAGTGATTGTGATGTACAGACTCCAGTCGGACTATCGTTCTGGTTATGAATAAAATGATGCCAGAAAAAGATATTTAACACAAAATAGTTTTGTGGCTTTTGTGGCTCGCACTCTCAGACCCAAAGCTCACTTTGTACTCCAGCGGGTGACACGAGTCACATTCTAGAGCTCTGGAGTTTCCAAAACCAACAAAAATAAATGATCATTTCCTAGAATTTACCATTCGGTGTAAATTGACGTGAATCATGGCTTTTGAGACGTTTTGCATAGGTTGTCAAATGACTCATTTAGTGATGATTTGGCCATTTTTTGTTCTGTTTTTTTTACTCAGTTGAGCTGGCTTCCCTTTTTCCTTTTTTCTGAATTTGACTACCCATCTGCAGTGAGTCTATTCTGGGTGTTCAGGTTTCTCAAGCTGCTTGTGGTGTGATCCAGTCATCAGAGCAGATATAAACCATCCTTCCTCTTTGTGATTTTTTCCCTGATCATTTAGTTTGAGCAGTAATGTGTATATTCAAATATGGCATATTCTGACACATCATATGTCTGCAGGTTAGCATCAACTTTTCCACATGCCTGTTGGTTGCTATGCCGGCGGTCTGTGGGGGTGGGCTGCCATGTTGTCCACCCATCAAATACATGAACATAAAATGCAACGCAAACAAATTAACTGTACTTGTGTGTATACCTAACCTTTTTATTTTCATGTACAGTATATACATATATATGCATAAACATATAACATTCATATTGTGAATCAAATATTTTGTGTTAATAGATCTACAGTGGGTACGGAAAGTATTCAGACCCCTTTAAATTGTTCACTCTTTGTTTCATTGCAGCCATTTGCTAAAATCAAAAAAGTTCATTTTATTTCTCATTAATGTACACTCAGCACCCCATCTTGACAGAAAAAACAAATGTAGAAATTTTTGCAAATTTATTAAAAAAGAAAAACTGAAATATCACATGGTCATAAGTATTCAGACCCTTTGTTCAGTATTGAGTAGAAGCACCCTTTTGAGCTAGTACAGCCATGAGTCTTCTTGGGAATGATGCAACAAGTTTTTCACACCTGGATTTGGGGATCCTCTCCAGTTCCGTCAGGTTGGATGGTGAACGTTGGTGGACAGCCATTTTCAGGTCTCTCCAGAGATGCTCAATTGGGTTTAGGTCAGGGCTCTGGCTGGGCCAGTCAAGAATGGTCACAGAGTTGTTCCGAAGCCACTCCTTTGTTATTTTAGCTGTGTGCTTAGGGTCATCGTCTTGTTGGAAGGTGAACCTTCGGCCCAGTCTGAGGTCCAGAGCACTCTGGAAGAGGTTTTCTTCCAGGACATCTCTGTACTTGGCCGCATTCATCTTTCCTTCAATTGCAACCAGTCGTCCTGTCCCTGCAGCTGAAAAACACCCCCATAGCATGATGCTGCCACCACCATGTTTCACTGTTGGGATTGTATTGGGCAGGTGATGAGCAGTGCCTGGTTTTCTCCACACATACCGCTTAGAATTAACGCCAAAAAGTTCAATCTTGGTCTCATCAGACCAGAGAATCTTATTTCTCATAGTCTGGGAGTCCTTCATGTGTTTTTTGGCAAACTCTATGCGGGCTTTCATATGTCTTGCACTGAGGAGAGGCTTCCGTCGGGCCACTCTGCCATAAAGCCCCGACTGGTGGAGGGCTGCAGTGATAGTTGACTTTGTGGAACGTTCTCCCATCTCCCTACTGCATCTCTGGAGCTCAGCCACAGTGATCTTTGGGTTCTTCTTTACCTCTCTCACCAAGGCTCTTCTTCCACGATTGCTCAGTTTGGCTGGACGGCCAGGTCTAGGAAGAGTTCTGGTTGTCCCAAACTTCTTCCATTTAAGGATTATGGAGGCCACTGTGCTCTTAGGAACCTTGAGTGCTGCAGAAATTCTTTTGTAACCTTGGCCAGATCTGTGCCTTGCCACAATTCTGTCTCTGAGCTCCTTGGGCAGTTCCTTCGACCTCATGATTCTCATTTGCTCTGACATGCACTGTGAGCTGTAAGGTCTTATATAGACAGGTGTGTGCCTTTCCTAATCAAGTCCAATCAGTTTAATTAAACACAGCTGGACTCCAATGAAGGAGTAGAACCATCTCAAGGAGGATCAGAAGAAATGGACAGCATGTGAGTTAAATATGAGTGTCACAGCAAAGGGTCTGAATACTTATGACCATGTGATATTTCAGTTTTTCTTTTTTAATAAATTTGCAAAAATTTCTACATTTGTTTTTTCTGTCAAGATGGGGTGCTGAGTGTACATTAATAAACTGAACTTTTTTGATTTTAGCAAATGGCTGCAATGAAACAAAGAGTGAACAATTTAAAGGGGTCTGAATACTTTCCGTACCCTCTGTAGATCTATTAACACAAAATATTTGATTCACAATATGAATGTTATTTGTTTATGCCTATATATGTTTATGCATATATATATGTGTATGTGTATATATATATATATATATATATATGTGTGTATATACAGTATATACATATATATATGCGTATTTGTCTTTCTGTATATGTTCCTCCAACCGCCCACAGATTTCATCATTAAAGTTTTAATCTGCAGTATGTCAGCAGAGGTTAGAGCAAATGCATTCTGTGAAGAAGCGTTTGGTGTCACTGTGACTCAACATGGAGCCGAGTCATAGTTGTATCCGTACTTCCTCAAATGTAACTTCTTGGTTTTCTTCTCGATTTGTTGTCTAACTCAAAGTTGCAAACAGATGATTTTCGAAACAGATGGGGAAAGTCTGATTTATTTACAGCATATACCGGCTCAGGTACAGTCCTGTATTTTTATTTGCTCAGAACAATGATTTGTTAGTATCATTCCATTTCAGAGGGTAAGTGTTCAAATCGCGATTGTTTACTTATTTATGTTAATTTCGCACGCGAAACAAACAGCCATCTCCTGGACAAAAGTCCTGTGTTTGTTTGGCCCACCCACCTCCAATCCCGCCGGCCCTGTGTGGACTCCCTCTCTGTTTAAACTACAGTTACTCTGCCTGTAATGCCACGGTGGAGGAGGAGCCGCTGGCTACTTGATGCGTTGGGTTTTAGAATAGTGTTAATGCAGCAGCCTGGTGGCTAAAAGTATGTTCCCAGACAAACGAAACTGCATTGTCAATTACATTTAGAGGGAAATGTACTTTCCTCCGGCATTACATTTTCTTTTTTTCGTCATATCACAAAAATACGGTTTGAAGCAAAGTCTGCGGAAGTCCGCAGAGTGTCGGTCAGGGGGGGAATGGATGAGTCAAACAAACACAGGACTTGCACCCAGGGGACCTCTGTCTATGTCCCCTGTGAAACCAGGGAACCAACGCTTCTCTTGGGTTGTGTTCTGTACAAGAACGTGACTTTTCGGAGACAGGGTTGACTGCAGAGACCCGGGGCCAGTTCTCGAGAGCTGTATCTCTAACTTGCTTGTGGGTGGGAAGCCAGTGAGGGATCATGTCCCTACCAATCCATTAGTAACGACTACTCATTGATCATAAAAGTCAAAGAAGGTTGACTACTTTTTATATGTTGTGCGCACGTATATGTGGTGGTTGTGGTTACTGTTTGATGACTTGTTGCATCAAACTTGCAACATAAGTAACTACATTTTGTAACCATACGTTAATGCTATCAAAGTGGTTCATGCATGTGCATGGTCCATCATTAATGTCCGTAACTCTGTCACCATTTATCTCTTCTTCAATACTCACACCACAACTGCACCTGCTGGTCTCCTGCTGCGAATGCTTTTAAATGCTACAAAGCAGAACCAAATTCGTATGTCGTGAAACAAAACTAACACCTTTAATTACTTGTTTCCGGTATCTTCTAACAGCTGCACAGCCAATCCTCCACCAAAATCTCAGAGTGACAAATAATTCAGTGCATTGTTTGAAATCAGAAGCTTTACATTCATGTGCTTTCATGATCTCTCTTTCCTTCATAAAACACACATTGCGTGATTACAGTTGGTGTAGTGCGTGTGTCACTTCTTTAATAGTTTTATATGTGGCTGCCACTTTAAATGAATGCTACAGAGAACAGTTTGAACTGATATAGGGAATTGAAAATAAAACTGTGCAGGGCTTAGTGGGAAAAAAAAGATTTGCACCTATAATTAGACAAAAATAAATCTCTGGTTCACGTTTTTAACTTCTTCAGGTGTTCAAAATAATTTCAGTGTATTCACTCTCAGTGTAAAACACAGCTGCACATGGCCAGCAAGATCCTGGTTCATATGAGAACTGAAGCTGAGATGAAACACTCTTGTGCTCAGTGTGGAAGTAAAACCCGTGGTGTGGAACTGATGACCGGTTTCACACTTAAGAAAGTGGGTTTAGTCACATAATGTCAATAAAATACCGTTTGACACACTCACCAGCGCATTAATAACTGGTAACAATGAGTCGCTGTGGTCTCCGTTTGTGTTCACTGTACGTTAAGGCTCTACCAGTATGGACTTTTTGAAGACTGATACAAACATTGATAGTTATCATTATATTTAGGCTAATTTGTGTAAATAAATATAAATATAACTGAACAAAATAATCGAAAAATATAAGCATAATCACATTTCCTTCCACTTTTAGAGGAGGAATGATATGGTGGTGGACATCAACTGTGTGGAAATCAAGTGGCGATAGTGAATTTAATTCAAAATGCACCGCTATGTGAAAAGCTTTGCCGTCAAATAGGACTTTTTTATTTATTTGAATAGATATTTTGACTCGTCATAGCAGGAGACATGTTATAAAGTGCCACAGTAAAGCCTTCTTGTGCAGCACAATAACAGGACGTTGGAACTGGCAAACCTAAATGGAATGCAGCTGTTGTTAAAATGATTAATTACACTTCCTGCTATGATGTGCCAAAACTCAGTGAAAAAGGTAAAAAATGAATTTTAAAAACCCAGAAAAAAGTTTCATCGTAGAACAAGGGAACAAATAATTGACTGGATGCTCAGTCAGCCATAGTTTTAGCAAATTGGTAAAGAGAAATACATTAATACGACCTCTGGGCTGTTACTGGGCATGTAGAATACAAAGTGGGTTCAGTATATTTTATTCTGATTATTATCAAAACGTCCTCAATACTGAACATCCGCAGTGAGTCAGTGTTAAAACGCAACATTCCAAGGGGGTGCGATTACTTTCCTTAGACACTATGTTGGTCTAACCTTGTGTGTGTGTGTGTTCTGATGGGGGGGGGGGGGGGGGGGTTCTCCTCACACACAGGGGGAAGTCCCACATCAGTCAGTGGGTTCGTACCCAAATGAGCAACCATGCTGAAATACCGGCCTGTCTCACTCTCATCGTCAAACCACGGATTCTCCCAACGCATCTTCATCTCCCCAGGTGAGTGATGCCTCTAAAACATCGTTTACAACCCATAGTGGGTCATATCAGACAACTGAATTTGCCGTGGTGAGAATCGAACCCTCAACTTCAGTCAGTTTTGTCATAGAAGACAGTTATCATTATGGTTTAGTATGGTGAGCGCAAGAGTTGAAGTTTGTGGCGGCTCTGCGGCTCACGGTGAGCCCACTTAGATCACCAGGAACGCCTTTACTTTGCTGTCTCTACTTACATTTACCCACACACCATAACCGACATAACAGGTGAGACCAATCATGAGAAGCTTTCTCAAAAAAAGTCAAAAGACCATCAAAACTCAATAACGAAGCACAAAAATAGATAAATACATGAGAAAAGGAGACAGTTATCATTTCGGTCCTTATGGAAATAAGCACTTTTGTTTTAATAATAGTAAACATGTAGTATGTGTTTATGATAATTCCATGTTGCGCTGATTATCAGGGTGCATGTGACAAATACACTGGTATACTGCAGTGGAGGGCGGAGGAGGTTTAGTCTTTCACAGTTCGCTGACTCAGTGCTCAACGGAGCAGAGAGGACTGTGTTCGAGAACAAAGACATGGTTTCTGAAAGGATGGACGTTTGCATTTTTGTAGCAACAGCAGCAAGGCTGGCATGTTGCTGATGGCCCTTTATCTCGGATTCACTGGACTTTGTACATGGTTTTGCAAGGTTTGCTCTAAAAAACAAAATATCCCCAAAAAAAAGGAAAGCAGAGGCAGAAAAGACGTATCCTAGACATCCTGCTTTAGTACGGCACAAACTGGCTTTCTACATCATCTTGGTAACTTCTGATAATCTCTAAGCAGCCTCTTGTGGGATGTAGACAGTACATGAAAGGTACTGTACATATACACATCCCATGTATACATACACGGTACTTTATAGTGGACTGAAAATTGGGTAAACAGTATCTTCCCACCCGCAGGAGGTTGTTACACATATATAAACGCTACAAAATGGAAATATCTAAAGTTACTCGTTCACACGCCACTTGCTATTTTCTCACCACTCATCTTTGTATGTACCTCTGTGTTGTCCTTTGTGTTCGTCAGTGTGAGGGTCATCAGGGCTGATGGGTAGAGGCTGCCATGCGGGTCAGCACTGGGATGCTTTGATCAGAGAATGTATTGGTTGTCAGGCGGAATGCAGGCAACCACAAGTCATCGCCAGATGCACCAGTTACTGTGGTGAGTACACACAGACATACATAAATTAGGCCAGAGGTACAGGAATACACACATGGTTGTGCTTATGAAATTCAAAGTTCATAGCACTAAAGTGGTTTTAGGGGCCTTGACCATTGATAAAACATTGGTAAATTATGCACTATACAATATTTCCAGCAGTACACCTACATTTCTTCAAATAGCTGATTCACAAGATGAATAGTTGATTGGCATGTGTACAACTTCAGAATCATCCTTAGAAGAAATTCAAATGGACAGAAATGAATCTTTACAATGCATCATGTGTTCTTCTCCTGCATTAGAGTCTGCATATTGTAAAGCACAGGCTGGGCACTACTATGATATGCTGCTGAAGAAATGTGTGAGGTGCGCTGACGTTTGTGGCGGGCATCCAGCAGAGTGCTCCCAGCACTGCCAGAGTGAGTATTGACCCCGCTGGCCTGGATTAGAGCTTTAATTATTTAGTGACTATCTCTGTTGGGCTAGGCCTCCGTGGACAAAGTTTTCAGAGCACAAGTTAAGGTAAAGGAGGAACTCTCGTCGAACTACAAATACATACCAATTGCAGTGACTGTTGTGGAGGGCGAGCAGCTAGCTCACCAGCTTACCTAAATACAGTAGCTATAGCTAGAAGGACACTACTTGTCTTAATGGTTACCCTAGATTTACTCTGACCCCCTAACCCTAAAACTCAAGTGAGACCCGCTGCTCGACGACCTTTCCTAACCATAACCACTTGAGGGTAATGCCTAACCTTAACCATCTCGCCTAATGTTCTCAAATCGAGGGTTTGACGACCGACCCTAACCTCACCATTCGAGGTCAATGCCCCACCTCAACGATCCAGACACAACCCCACCACTCCTGTATAATGGGGCTGAATGATATTTGGTTTGCGTACGTAGAGGATGCTTACGTCGGTGCTTAGATAGATACATGTTGGTTGTACATTGGTGGAGAATGCACGTAGCTCGGTGCCCTAGAGGCTTCGGGGCACAAACCACAAACCACAACATTACAGATTTTCAGAGAACCATTGTTGCATGGCGCTCCTTATCTTTCTACCTTCGTTTCCTGTCATCTCTCGACCTTTAGCTTCCCAATAGAGGAATCAAATACCTGCTGTTTTGCCATGAAGGTCTTAAAGATATATTCTTCCCATCCACCTTCTAGCTCCAACACCCCCTGTGATCACTAAAAAGCTCCTGGTTCAAGTTACCCCACACGTGCCGACTTCCAGAGGGCTCTTGGTGCCGACAGCCTTGGAAGATTCCACTATCCTGCTCTACTCTCTGCTGGCCCTGAGCATGATGCTGCTGTTCTCTAGCTTGTCTCTAGCCTTTGCAGTCTTACTGAGGGGAGCCAGGGCCAAAACCTCCAAGCCAGGACCCAAAGGGGCTAACCACCCCCAGCCAGGCCAGGAGGTTGGCCAACCGGGGAAGAGATCCAAAGGTTAGTGTGGTACGGATACGAATAAAAGGCTCCAATCCGTACAATCGGTGAGTAGTTTATCCGTTCCTCAAGCTGCAATCTCTGAACCCATCGGCTATCGGTCTGACGACGGATAAGCCTCTGGAGGCAAGGAGCTAAATATCTGGGGTTCCAGTGAAACTAGCAGAAAGCCAGACCAGACTTGCTGTTTACAGTTTAATTGGCAACTTGAGATGCGAGACTGTAGTTGGAGACGATGTTAACGAACAGACTGTTCCACAAGTAGCCAGCTTACAATCATTTACAAACCAATAAACAGCCAACTCATCGTCAGACAATAGCAGGTGGGTTCCAAGATTGCGTTTCGGCCAGAGTATACCGCTTCTTCTGCTCTCCACCGGGACAGACTGCTGACTTACAATATGCTTCCAATACCAAAGACTTGTCCTGTTGCCCGCATATCAATGTACAGTAGTTCCCCTTCAGACACATCATTTATTTCCTTATCTTATATTTCCAAACGTTTGTGTCTCTAAACTACTGTTAAAAAAAATATCATGGCGTGTCATACGCCACGGCGTATCATTCATACGTTTTGCTCCAATGTGTGCCCACTACCCTCTCTGTCTTCCTACAGATTTAGTATCAAATTCAAACCACACCACAGACCGTGAGCCATCATATGACTCCAGCCCCACTGAGACCTGTGTGTGTGTCCACTGTTTCCCCGATCTGAAGGCGCTTGGCCAGGGCAACGACAGGCCACTGAGAGCACCTTTCTCATTCTACCAGCAGGCCGTCCTCCACAAATCCCCGATCCAAAAGCGAGGGCCTCTCTGGACTGAGGAGAACCTGTACACCTCTGGACTGGAGGTACAGGAGGAGGCTGAAGTAGTGGGATGAGGCTCACTTGCCGTCTCACGGGACAAACTGCAATGGCCAAATGTGTCCTCAGCTCGCAGGAGAACATGGTCAGCGTATTGGATTCTCAATCACACTGCGGATATTGTCACGGGCCAGTAAAAAAGTATCACTGAAAATGATCATGCTGCTGACTAGAAGCCATGCATGCATGTCTGGTCTAGTAATATTGAAACTACTGCTTCACTGGACTGAACAGCTCTCTCAACAGGGCAGACTAGTGACTACAGGTTATGGTCACCAACATGAGATCAATGAGGGCCGAGCAGCATTGGATTGCCAGCTGTCATCTACAGATCACATCTCCGTATGAAATACTTTGAGAAACCCGGTCACAGGAAGACTGTAACTGGGTTGGAGTAGTTGTGGTGGGTAGTCTAGTGCAGGTGTCAGCGAAGAATTCCTCTGTTAGAGCTTTCAAGTTCAGAAATGTGTATGTGCAAATACTGGAACAAATATGTATGTATGAATGTTAATTGTGTGTACAATGTTATGTAATATACGTGTGAGGTGATGGAAGATTAAGAATCCCTTTGTACTTGTTTTGCCCACAATAGTGAAAAATAAAACCTTGATATCAGAAACATCTGGGGGAGAAGCTGTTCAAAAGTGTTCAAATTATCATCTGTTTTTAAAGAGTCAGTACGGCTGTCCTCAAAGACAGGAAACCAAAGAGAGTCTTAGTCGACTGACACTCGTACGATTAGTTGATTTAATCTACAAATCTGTAAAACTGAAGTTTCTCCTCAAACAAACACACAAAAGCATTGCTTTAAATCTGGTGTTTGCCAGAGATGTGTCGGTAAATTTCTTGTAAACAACTAATTCAGCATTAAAAAAAAAGCATATAAATAAGACTTAAGAAATCTTTGTCGACTACGAGGGCCCTAGTAGTCAGTTTGATCCTCGGCGAGTCCTGTTTGATTGTACTCGGGTTGTGTATTAGCAAGAATGTGGCAATACGACTCATGTTACACCCTTCTACCAAGTTTCATGAACATCAGGCCAGTAGTTCACATAATCCACACAAACTAACCGTACCGAAAAGTGGAGGTAATAACAATAATACAAAAAAAAGAAGAAAAAAATCATCATATTCCATCAAACACAATAAATAAGAGGCACAAAAGTGTTTACAGATATAGATTTTCTTTATTCGAGTGTCTTTCCATCACTGTGTCCAGTTCTTGCAGCAGTTACACGTGTGCGTGTATGTGTGAGGAATGACTGACCGGGTCAAGACAAAAGTTTCTTCTGATTACGACCCCGCGGCGATAGAGAAGAACAAAAATCGACTTTGAGGTTTCACCACTTCGTCTCTTATACATACAAACTGTACATGTATACTTATACATACATCATCAACATGTGGAAAAAAAAGAAAAGAAAATCCTATCAAACTGCTGTACCCAGCTCAGACGGCATGCTGAATGCAGGTACTGATTCAGTACACGAACATACGGTACACACGCACCTGTGCATACAAACGGGTACACATACGCACTTGTTTTTTTTCCTCCTCTCTTGTTACGCGTAATAACACATTTTGTACAAACACACCTACACCGAGCTTTTCTTTTCTTCCCTTGTTTCGAGGGCACACACACACACACACACACACACACACACACACACGCACACACACCGAATTAGAGCAACATGCGGCCAACAATTAACACTGCGGGATCGAGCTTCGAACCCGTTACACATACGCTCTTTACCTGAAACAGCATCACGACAACGCATCTTGAAGGTGGAAACATGCCTCTGTAATGCCGACACATTTGACCAACTGAAGTCAAATTAAAACCGGAAAAAAAAAAAAGAAGAATGAAATAAAATGAAGCCAGTTTCACCAACGTTATTGGCACAATTTTGCGTGCTCAAAAGAAAACATTATTGACGGGCACAATGAAACGCAGTCGAAAAAACGTGAGAGTTTATGGAGAAATTGTAAACAAACGATTTAATTACATTATGTATAAAAATATAGTATTCACCGTGTAAGTTATTTCCCCCGGGACTGTTGGAAGCAGCATGAGAGGCAGAAGAGAACGGATCCTTTGTGTACTCCTTGTTGAAGTATTTGACTGACAACTACAACTTCACATGAATGGGATTAACTGTGTCTCTGTACAATGTTCATAAACCCCCACACACTTTTTGCGATCTGAACATGAAATGCATAATAAGACAACTTCCGATCTAGAAATATTTGGTCATTTGCAGGAGTGAGGGTGTGTTAGACGAGTGTGCTTGTGTCCAGGAAGTTGCCGCTTTAGGAAAAGCGAATGGAAAAGAAAAGCCTCTGTGGAAGGCTGCGACTCCACATGTTCGGGTGTCACTTAATGCAGCTGTGCGAGCACGAAACACGGTGAAGAACAGCATTTGTGATCGAGTAAACCTTAAAAACAAATAAAAAAATCCTTTCTGCCCTTTTGTTTGTATCTGAAATAGAGGGAGAGACTGAATCTGCACGTCGCTTCTTCCATACAGCAGGTCATCACGGCTGCCTTCTTCTTCATCCCCTCAATTCAACTGAAACGCTTTTTATGCAACATCTCGCATTTTGTTTTGTTCTTGCACTTTTATGCACTTATCCTGCGCGGCGCACAGTTCCTTCTTGAATGTCGTACAGTGGAACTAGACTAGTATGGAGAAAGGGTGGTTCCATGTTAGAGCGATTCAGGTAGGCTTGTGTCTCTGTGTCCCTGCCCCTCTCTCACCACTCCGTTACCTTTTCCCATGCAACTAGTCCTCGCACCGTCCCTGGTCTCGTCGCCGATGGAGGGAACTACTCGTACTCCAGGAACTGTTTGTGATAAAACAAAAGGTACCTGTGGAGATAAGGGAACAGTCACTGTCACAGAGCTTTTTAGACACACAAACTGTATTTAGCCAATGCAGTGTCTCGCTTACCCTTCGCTATCCAGGACGTCCTTGATGCTGGCCTTCGTGATGATGGCGTCGTCACATTTGAACCACTGGTCCTTGTGTTGGCGGATGAAGGTGGTGTAATGGCCGCTCTCCAGTGTCCCCTGGTGGTTCACCACTGCAAATAGACTAAACCTGAAACAATGGAAAACAAGAGCTGAGAAATCAATGCTGCAACAAGCCGTAACCCATTCTGCATTCGTGCTGCAACTTCAAACAAACCGATACACAAAAAATCCCTTTAGTTTGCAGTAAACATGGTAAAGATTAACATCTCCAAGTATTACAGCAGGAGAAGTTACATTTATTCCAACTGTAAGTCAGCTTAGATATTCGGTTTGCCGGCAGTTTATCAAATTAATAATCAGCATTTGATTAGAATAAAGCCCACGAAAGATAAAACACGAGGTGTTGGTAGAATGAATGAAAAGTGGTCGGAGAGAAGTGCACAGAATGCATTAGTGTGATCAAGTGAAAGCGGTGCTGGTTCAGACACTGGCTGATTACAGGTGTTTGCCTTACTTGTTGTCATTGTTGAAGGGGTCCACGGTCTGCTGGTACTGCCCATTCATCCGGCTTTCCTTACTGAAACACACCGCAGAACAAACTCCGTCAACAACTGCTCTCGCAAGAGTCGGCGGCAGTATTCCACATACTTAAGCCTCATTATGTTTGGAGTTTGGGCTCACCTGGAGGCCATGAAGGGCGTCATGTCCAGCTCCAACGGGAAGGAGACGTAAGTCGTGATCTTCCGCCGCAGTTTGGCCGAATGCTCGAACCTCTGAGAAGGAACAAGGAGACGAGAGCGCCGCTCTGATAACCAGTACCCGCAGGAATTAGCAGTCAAGACCGAGCTCTTACTTTGACGTGAAAGCAGGCCACGATGGGCAGCTTCTTCATGGTCAGCTGCTTGGTGGACTCCTGGTAACTATGGCAGCCGCTGCACTTGATCTTGGCGCTGCTGCCGAGGTGCTCTGGCCTGGTGAACCTGGAATGCAGAGAGTGAGACTTAGTGCCCGTGTGTGCACTTTTATCAATGCTGCTCCTGCAGATGTATACATGTATATATGTGTGTGTGTGTGTAACCTGCTCCTCGGGGCTTTGGTGTGATAATTCTGGGAACTAGTTTTAGATTGTTTGTGTCTCTAAAAAGTGCGTCGGGTTGTCGGTGAGCGTCTGTCGCCCTAGTTTTTGCAGCGTGTCCTGCACTTCTGAACTGTACGGCAGAGAAAGAAGATTTTCAGACCCAAGAGATTGTGATTCTTCTAAAATGATCAGGTACCTGCGCAGGCAGTCGGTGAGCGTTGTGGCTCCAGTGGTGTGACTCTCCCCGTTCAGCGCTGAACCGTCCCCACCGGGGCTGAGGGGCCAGAACGGGGTGGAGGAGCCCGGCAGGTCCAGGCTGATGTCCCAGAACGGGTCTATGGTCGTGGAGACGCCACTAGGGAGGAAGACAGACACACACACACACACACACACACACACACACACACACACACACACACACACACACACACACACCCGGTATGAACGCAAATAAAATACGAGGTTTATTGTCGACATACTAGACTTTCGTCACTGACATCTCTGATATGCCCTCGATTAGATTGAGTGGTTCAACTCGTTCTGTCCCAAAATAGTGACTGGTGTGGTATAAGCTGCTCTGTGCTTCGAGAATATCTGCAGTCCATTTTCCTTGGTCAACAGCAAAAGGCTGAGTCGGCACCAGCTTACATTTTAAATGGAGAATGCAGAGTGAATAATTCATGAATCAGCAAAAGCCTTGTGGCAAGAGGATTTCCTTTAGAGACCTGGTCCAGGGAGGAACTGTCTCGTCTCACATATCTTGACAGTACATATATAATTTTGTCTTAATCTAGAAAAAGACAAAACCCTGAAAAGATGTTCTTGTGATGTCATTATGTTGTTAATTACAAAGAAAAATCAAATTTTGCTGGTACATCTCCACCTCCGTTGCAGTGAGTCAGCGACCGTAAATGTTTTCAATGGAAGAATGGAGCTTTCTTTGACCACCAGGTGGAACTAGAGATCAACTCTACGTTCTGTGTGCCATTAAAGGGTTTCACTGCTGCTGCAGTGTAGCCCTGTGTGTGTGTGTGTGTGAGAGTGAGAGTGAGAGTGATTGACGGTGCACTGTGAGAGTGAGAAGAGGGGGGGTGGGGGCTGGAGGGTCACCTCAGGGCAGGGAATTCGAGAGCTCTGAACCGGGATGGTGACAGAGAAGTGGAGGGCGTCGCTTTAGAGCGGCTGATTGGTCAAGACGGGACAAGTAGAGGCCTGCTGTTAACACAATGCAACTGTACTGGAAGGACGACTGCCATGGCTTTGTTCTATCAAGCTTTAATCTCTTTATTCTGGCTCTTCTGAGGTCTGAACGTTTTTTTTTTCTGCTGTGGGTTTTTTTTTTCTCTTCAGAAGAACCTCACACACACACACACACACACACACACACACACACACAAGCGCACTTACTGGCAGACTTGACAGGTGACGTCAGACTGCAGGCCCCCTGTGAAGATTTGGTCGATGATGCAGTTACAGTGGTTGGGGTTGTTGGCTTTCTTCCCGTTGTCGTCTGTGTGGATACACACACACACACACACACACACACGCACACACACACACAGTCACTAAAAGCAATGCTGTGTAACTTCAGAGCCACTCTGCTTCTACACTGCAGAGAGCGATGCAGATTCATGAGCACCGTGGTTCTGCATCGCTCTGTCAGTCAGCGCTTCTCTTCTCTTCATCTCACTCGTTCAACCAGCTCTCCTCCTCTCGTCTCACCTACACTCAGCTAAAGCCGCCTCTGCGACATTCTTCCCGCTTCCTCATCGCGTCCTTCACATCTACATCTCTAATGTTTGGAGTTCTGTTGGTGCAGCAATGTGGTGAAAAACAATAGTGTAACAGCTTTACTAAAAATGATGTTGTAATAGCACTTTAACATAATATATAATACTGTTCATTTTTTCAAAATTTATGTCATAATTCAGACGGATAATGAAATGAGTGTGCTCTTTTTTTTCCCGAAATGTAAAGCGTGGAACTATGCAACATGTATAACTGACTTGGTGTCACGTTAGCTTCCTGATAACTAATAAAAGGTTGACCTTCATACTTAAGCACATTTAAAAGTGGAAACTTTTTGAATTTTACTCGGTTGCACCCCCATGGATTATGATGTGGGGGGGGGGATCCATTCACAAAACTTGAAGGATACGTCCACAGAAGTGCCTGAAACACCAATTGACAACTAAGGGGCGCTGCAAATCCAAAGAATGCGCGCGGCTCAACACAAATCTGACGGTGAATCAGAAAACGTGAGTCCAATCATTAGAATCTTCGTGGTAAATATTTGACAACAATGTTGAACCTCGTGTGTAAAACTACTTTTGAAATCATGCGCATCGTCTCCGAGTACATGGGCGTCCGACCTTTGCAGTGTCTGTGCAGGACGTCCAGCGCTGCGATGAGGAACTCGTGGGCGTCCTGCTGCTCGTAGCCGGCCAGGTGACGGGCGTGGGTCCACACCAGGTGAAGGAGACGGAAGGGGATGTGCGGCGAGCGATGGCCTGAGTAGAACTTGAGAAGCGAGGCGTGTACGTGAGAAAGTGAACATTCCCTTCCACGCATCTTAAGCCCTCTTCTTCTACCCAACTAATCTTTTTTTTTTTTTTTAAAAGGAGAGAGTTACCTCCTGGAAGAGTTGCGACATCTCGCACACCAAACAGGAGTTGCTCTGCATCTCGCATTTGTGTCGATCGGACAGGAAGAAGTCGCGCAACAGCGGAGTGTGCGTCAGCGCCTGGACGATGCAGTTCATGAAGCAGGTGTTGCCCAGGTTTATCAGCCCCCGCAGGCCTGAGGAGAGAGAGAGGAGAGGAGAGAGAAATAAGAAGGGCAACAGAGAGAAAAGGATGGGGGAGGGAGGAGTAAAGAAAAGAGGGAGGATAGAGAGAAAGCGCTTAAGAGAGACGGATCATTTTTTCTTTGGTGCTGCAGTGAGCCATCTAAGCTGTAATGCTGTTAATGGTAGACGACTAACACACACACACACACACACAGTGAAACCGTGATGTCCCCGAGGCGCCGTTGGACCGCATGCAGGGAAACCCTTGTCAGATTAATGGAGACCGAAACACACACACACACACACACACACACACACACACACGAGGGGAGAGGGAGGAGAGAAGAGAGGCAGGGGAGACGGCGGAGGGAAAAGGAAAGAGGACTAGTGGTGGAGGGAGACGGAGGAAGGATGGAGATCGTGTTCTCACAGACGAGCAGCCGGGCCCGTAATTTCCCCTCACCTACAGAGAGTGCCAGGGATGTTAACGGTGCTCGAGCACGCCGCTGCGAGAAGGTGTTAAGCGTATGCCAGCTCTCCTCGCTCACACACACACACACACACACACACACACACACACACACACACACAC